CCGAGCCCATCGGTTACCAGCACCCGGGCGGGAAGTACATCCCGGCGAACCAGGAGACGCTGAGACTGAACCACAAGGAGGTGAGGCTGGCGGAGGACAGGCCGGAGCTGGAGAGGTCTCGAGCCAGGCCGAGCGCGGCCATGGAGAAACACTCCAGAGACTGCTACAAAGAGGAGGAGCACGCCATGGCGCCGCCGCCCAAGCCCGAACGGAGCCACAGCCTCCGAATGCAGCACCCCGAAACCCTGGAGAGGGACTCTGCCCTCCTCTACCCGTACCAAACCCTTGGGAAACGCCAAAGCACGATGACTGTGGTGTCCCAGTACGATAATTTGGAGGATTACCATACCATGCCTCAGCACCAAAGAGGGGGCTACGTCGGAGGAGGGGGGTTCGTGCCCCCCAGTTTTACCCACGTGCACAGTAGAACTTACGCCACGGCCCTCGGCCAGGGAGCCTTCCTCCCGACGGAGCTGTGTTTGCAGAGGCCTGAAACAGAGGTCCACGTCGAGTGAGCTGGCGTGAGGGGAAGGAGGGATAGAGTCTAAGCAGCCTCTGCTGGACAGCGGACTGTTTTATTTTTTCAGTGATGGAAAAGAAAAAAAAAAACCAACCCAGAACCCCCCCACCCCTGCCCCGATGAGCAAAGCAAACCCACCTTGAGCCCCACCCCTACGAGCCCACCACTCGCTGTTTTTATGTAGTAGAGAGATAGCTTTTTCACGTCGTTTTGAGACAACTGGAACGACAGGGCAGGCTCTTGGCACACAGACGTTGCCAGAGAGGCCGGGCGGAGCTGAGAGAGGTGCTGTATGGGCAGGGAGGAAAGGAAAAGCCGTTTTTTCCTTCCCCAGATTTGACATTAGCAGTGACCATCACCACGCCTCCACGGTCCCGCGCACGATGCGCTGTGCACGCTGCTCTTCTCCCCGGGAGCCCCGCGTGTCGCGTGTCGCCTGTCCCGCTGCCAGCTTCTGAGAAAGGGTCCCCGTGCAGGCGGGCGAGAGCGGGCTGAAAGCTGGGCAGGGGGGAAAGACTTCCCGAGTGTTTTCTTACCAAGGTCCTGCCTCTCCCTTGAAAATGACTGCTTAGGCCTAGTGGGTCCACTTCAGTTGCTTTGAAGTGGGTGGGAGCCTGTTTTGACCTCAAGCCTGTGGAACAGGCTCCGAAGCAAGTTCAAAATACAACGCACTTTCAAAATCGCTCGCTTAACAAGCTGCTTCTGCCTACAAGAAATCAGATTACTCCAAATTTCTCTGTTGTAAGTAGAGGCCAGCTATGGAAGCCAAGTAGGGCAGGTTTGCGTTTCTCAGACCAAAAGAAAAACCACCCACAAAGCCACACCAAACCACACACGCGCCGTTGGGAACAGCACGCCCGTTTCGTGCCAATTCCTCTTTACTGCTAGGCCATCGCAGTCCAGAGGATTTAATACCATGTTGTGGCTGGCCAGGCAGTATCATCTCTCTACAAAAAAACATAGTATAAAAATCAAAACCATCTCTATGGCATTATGTCCAGCTTGTAAACTGGAGCCCAGCTTACCAGCTGGGAATGGCTGCGTGAGTGCCGCGCCCCGGCATGACCAGCTTCTGCCCCGGGCCAGCTCCTGCAGCTCTTAGATCAGGGAACGCTCCTCCGGCCCCTCCGCGGCAGGGCGACAGGACAGGGCTTTCTGTAACCTCTTAGTTCTGCGTTGGCCAGGGGATCCCTGCCAAGTTGTGGCACGTACAGAGCAGTGACGCGCCGCCTGCGCGCCGTGAAATCAGTCGTATTGCCTCCCGCGTCGCAAGCGCAGCTCACGCCAGTATTCAGTTCGCAGTAGGGACAGAAGGCCAGTACGCTGTCTATAGTACATCAGTAACCTTGTCCTAGGTATGTAAAAGCTTTCCACATCGTCCAAGCAGCCGGGCAGCATCTCGCGTGCGGCCTCTCGGGCTTCCCAGGGCTCACTACAACCCCCCCCGTATAAATAAAGCACACCCATTTCATTAGACAGGGCTTGCAAGCAATACTTCAGATTTAGGGGTTTTTAAATGTTCGCTGACCTGTTCTGTGTGGTTGAAGAACTCCTCTACCCGTTTTGAATCTCTAATGTTTTATTAAAAACCTGGAGGTCCTGCAGTCAGCACGCAGCTGTGGAAGTTAAAGGGAACTTAGATGGGTTTTTTTGAGCAGAAGTTTCATGGCTATTTTGGGACTTTTAAATCATAAGGAAAACCTGCTAACTAGCTAACTAGTCTTTAGCTGTTTGCTTCTTTTAGTAGCCTTGTCTGGGGCTGTTTCAGTAACACTACCTTATGGTCCTATTTTATTGTGCAATGCTCTTGTTTTAAGCATTTTGTTTAGAAGAATTGTTCTTACGTGCTATAGAAATAAATCTGGCAGGCAGAAAAAGAAGAAGAAAAAAAAAAATAGCAGCACTGTGATCCAGATTACTGCAATCTCCTTGCGAGTAATTACCAGGGAGGGGGGTTGGGTTTTTTTGTGAGGGAATGCTTCTTGTAATGTTTTCTTTTTAAGGAAAACCAACAAAAATACAGAGAAAGGGGCCATTGGGTAAAGCCACGTCGTGGGCCACCCTGTCTACGTTGCTAGCTAACTCCCTAGGAAAGGCTGACCTGTCCAGGTTCCTCGGTGCAAGCTGGCCGAGGGAGTCCAGTTTCAGTGTGTGCTCTCAGCAACGGCGTGTAACGTGTTAGGACGAGTACCCGTCCTCCTCCGCTGTAGCACAGTCTCCCCACAGCCCTGCCGGGGTCTCCAGTTGAAGCAGGGACAACGCGTTTGGTTCAGGCTATTTGGGATTCAGGTAATGAGAGCTGTAGGTCAAACCTCGCTCTCCACGAAAGCCTTAACTCCCCACTCCTGCCCCCCGCCCCGCAGCAACTCTCCTGACCTCTGTTTTGGCCTTACATTAACCAGGACTATCCTACTACGAGGGGGCTGGGCGCAGCTCCCCCCAGTTGTAAACGCCTCGCTGGGTTTTCCTGCTCAAAGCCACTGTCTCTCTAGAGATCAAGTGCCATCCCTGGACAGCTTCTGTTCCTTACAGGCTCGTGCTACTGCTGCGTGAGCCTGGGCTCTTCCGCTCCCTGCACCGGATGACGTGCCGGGTGCTGAGCACCCTCTCACCCCCGGGAACCAAAAGCTTTCAGCATCTTGTAAGGAGAGCTAGAAGTGCACACCCGCACACCGAGACGGCTGCTACAAGCAGCCTTCCCCTCGAGCACGAGATGGTCTGCATTAAAAAAAGACACACGGCAGAAACCCGAGTACCCAGCGTCCTCCCGTCCCTCTGCACACCACTGTTGAGCCACCAGTACAAAAAACAAAGAAAAAAAGCAAGGTTTTCCCAGAAAATTATACGGATGAGCACTTTTCTGTTGGTGTTGCTACTGCCCACGGCTTAAACATCTAGTCCAGGAGTCGCCCCGCACCCACCCCGCACAAAGCCATATAGTGAACTATGCAGTTCTGCTCTTGCACTGTGGTTGGTCCTTCGAAAGGGGTTGACATCCCCGTTCACCGATTCACGAGAAAGTCAAAACACCCGGCTGTCTCTTGGCAAAAATCATAGCTGAGATCAAAAAGGGCATTGTGCAGCAGAGCGAGGAGGGGAGGGTACACCAGATGTCCGAGTAAGGCGGATGAGCTGGAGGTGAAGTCGGTCGTTCAGTTTGTAGCGTCCTAGTAGAGAAATGGGAGAGAGCAAGGGGACGGCAATGCAAACAGTGCTCTACTGCAAGTCCAGTTCTGCTCAGATGAAGCAATTTATGGCCTAACCTTATCTCCAGCAAGATGACAAGCAGCTATGTTCCTTAATTCCCTTACACTTGCCACAAGCTATCTACATCTTCAGTTGCCGCTTCCCAAGTCATCAGCCGAGTTTCTCCCTAGTGCATGCGAGAGTTAGGGTCCAGTTAGTGTGCTCCAACTCCAGATTTCCACCTCCGCCTTGGAGTGGAACGTGCAGCTCGTAGGAGACCTTCCTTGGCAAAGGGGGAGGGCAGATGTTAGGTGAGTAAGGAGGACCTAGCCCCTATGGAGTCTTACGTAAAGCATTAATTTCTGATCTTTAAAGAGTCTTATCAGGTGAAACCTATATGCATATATGACAAAACACCCACAACTTTGTGCCTATCTTTCCAGAGATCCTTGTTTTATGCTCATCATTTTGGGGGGGGAAGGGAGGGGGTCAGTAAGGATTGCATCGTGGTAATAAGTTGCTACACAAAACCAAAACCAACTGGAAAACCTGCTGTTCCTCTTTAACGGGGACAGAACCTTGGGCGTACCTTGACAGGGCATTGACTGAAGTGATGTGTTACGTGGTAGGAAGTCTGGAGAAGAAACCGGTTCAGGTTTGTTAAAGGCGGCTTAGGCACGCAGCTCTCTGCCCAGAGCCTGGTGCCTCCGGTACCCGACGGGGAAAGGCATGGAATGAGTCTTGCCTCGTCCAGCTGGGGGGAGGGAGGGGGGAGAACAGGGTTGTTTTGCAGTTCATTTTCCTGCTGTAGAAGACTTGATTTTTCTTTCCCTGAGCCGCATGAGAGAAACATCCCAGAAGGTCTTGGGTTACCTTTGGAGTTCCCTTCACTTTAATTTATATAGTGTCTTTTTTTGTGAACTGGTGTAAAATGTATATGCTGACAAGCTCATGTATTTTTATGTAAATATTTTTTGTGGTTTCCCCACTTGCCCTTCTCTGTAAATATTTAGAATTCTCATATTCTAATCACCTTGTATGATGCAGATGTGGTTTTGTTTCTGTTTTTTATTTGTACTGTAATGCAACAATCCAGACTGAGGTGTCTTGTGGTATTAAACAAAAGCAACAGTCCCACTGAGCTCACACTCAGATGTACAACTTGACAGCATTAATCAAGCCAGGTTAAAAACTATTCCGTTGTGTCTGTGTCTTTTTTTGCCTCTGCCTCATTAATTAATAGTATATTAAAAAGGGGGGGGAAGCCAGTTTAGAGCCATGCTTTGGAGGGATGCTGGCAGGTATCTAAAGACCAAGGAGGAGGTGACTTTGTGTTCGTATGCCAAGGCTATTGCTAAATTGCTCACCTTAAGCCCACGCCACTGCGTACGTGTTCAGTTACACCTGGGGCCATGACAGCTTCCTAACAAAAAAAAAAACAGCCTGGCCTTTTTTAGTCTCCCTTTCTTCTCACCCAGCATGACGGCGCAAGGAGAAATAGCTTGGCGCTTGCACAGAAGGCACAGGGCAGATGAAGTGAGGACTAACAGATGGCAGAGGCCACCTTGGCCCCCGGAGCTGGCCAGGAGGGATTCCAGGCACCACAGTAATATTGTTCATAGATAATGAATAGCAAAAAAGATGATTAAAGGAAGCTGATTTCATACAGACTTTTAGTAGTCTTTTTAACCAGTAAATGGTTGAAACTGCTGCCAGTAATAAAGGTAACCTAATGGTCCTCTCCTTGGAGGACAGGCCAACCCCGCTGTCCGCTGCAGCGTTCTTGCTGCTGCCTGCACCCAGCTGTCG